GGCACGTGGCAACGCCTCGAAAGCTTCGGCAAACTTTTTAATGGCATACTGCTCGAGACCAGGGCAGGACTGCAGAAAGGCAGGAAAATGGTGTATCAGTCAAAATAGGACAAAACGAAGACGAGAGATAAGTGTGTGGACTTGGAATATGTTAATTAATTCACTTGAATGTGCATACCTCTCCATATGAGGTGATCTGTTTGGCCAGCTCAATCTCAGTGGCTCCTCCTCCAGGTACCAGCCTGTTGTCCTAAAGATAATGAATGACAGAGAGACTGTAGCTGTTGTGCAAACTAAGTAGTACATAAAAAGAAAACCCCTTGAAATTTGTGAACTGTAAGATTCTCAATAACAATGTTTAAAGGGAAAGTTTTGCTCATAGTGAACACTGATAGCATAGTTTTAGTTTTTCAGTTCCTAATTCTATTTTAATATTATTATTATTATTATTATTATTATTAAGTAAACAGGTGCTCAACACCGATGAGAAAAAAGATAAACATCAGCCTGAGTTGCTTTACAATAAAGACAATAATAATCTTTAAAATATAATTTGTGCATCCATTTGTTAAAACTTGTGATTCATCTAAAAGTAAGAAAAAAATCCCAACAACAACAAAATAACCCCAGTGACTTATAATGTCTACTTACCCTGACCAGAACTTTAAAGGTGTTGACTCCATCATCTACAGCCCTCTCAATATCATCCATCAGGTTGTCAGTGGAGCCTCTGATCACCACGGTTGAGATGGCACCATCCTCTTTATCTGTGTCAACACCAACCAACATGTTAACTCAGAAAGGTTTAAAATTAAGATTCACAAGCCTGAAGAATGGAGTCATTTACCATGTTTGAAGACCACCACCTGAGTGTCTCCCACCTCAGTCAGATATACATCATCACAGTGACCCATCTCATCCGGAGTCGGAGCCGTCTAAGGATGACAAAAATGTATTTATAGTTAAAAATGGACGGCTCTTTCGAATACCTGATCTGATAAAAACAAGTGTACACTCACCATCTTGGGCAGAGCTACAGCTCCCACAGTCTTGCATAATCTCCTGAGGTCCCACTTGGAGTTAAGCCTGACGAGAAGGAAAAAAAGAACGTTTACGGCTGGGAAGCACACAATGCCAAAGATATACTATTATATATCATGTAATATTTAACATACGGCCATCATATATTTATTTAAATGTCCCAAAAAATGCAGACACAGTTACATCTTGCACCTTCAAAATAAAAGTTTTAGTCCTAGGCCATGAAAGGACCATCTGTATTAGCAAAAAGATCAATCTTTACTTGGGAGAAATGTGATCTCTTAAGCGAGTTACATGAAACAGTAAGCTCAACTAGAAGAAACTCAGGCTGAATTTGCCGTAAATGTCTAGCTCTTTGTATATGATACGTTCCCTGCTCACTTAAGGTTTTGTAGTTCTTACCTGACCACCATGAGTTTGTACTTGTTGGCGTAGTGCAGCGCCATGTCAGCCACTTTCCCCCCAGTTACCACCACAGTGGCACCAGCCTCCTTGATAGCCTTCACGTTAGCTTCCATCAAATCCTCCTCTCCTTTACTGAAGTCCATGAGCTCCTGTGCATTATTTATCAACACTGTGCCCTGTGGAACAGACGGGACTATTGTCAGCACCGAGAGCAATGTCAGCATCATCTTCATTAAACTTAATATATCGGTCACCTCCACTTACCTTAGTCTCTGTCACCATGCAGTCGAAGGGGCAGGAGAAAACGGCGATCTTGGCGTCTTTCACTGATGAGATGTCTCCCTCTGCCTCCTTCTTAAAAACCATGCCATGAAGCATAGAGGATGCCGTCACCCCACAACCCTAAAATGACCACAAATGTTAATAGAGGCCAAACTGCATACGCACACAAAATAAAACCAACAGAAGATGCTGCTTACCAAAATCTTGCATACTCTGACGTTATCAACATTGAAATTGCCGGTCTCTGGGAAGATCGATACTGCACGAAGAGGGGAGAAAAAGGAAGTCAGAAAAATACCAAGGCAATGCTAAAATCGAGACAATCAACTCTGAGATAGTGTGCACTTCTGACTCACCACAGGCCTCTGCAATGAGGTTCGCAAGGAAGTCTTCATTGCCGTACTGTTTACTCATGACTGCTGTACGGATGAGCGACTTGGCTTCATTAATGTCATGGAGGTTCTTGGCTGAGGAGCAAACGCAGTCTGACAGGATCTCCAGAGTCTTCTTACAAGCCTTCTCGTAGCCTTCAATCACCTGTGGCAAAGAAGAAAAAGCAGGCACTGAGAAAATGCACCAATCATAGCACATGTTTGACATCAAGCCATGCTACTTTACCAATATTATCTTGTTTACCTCTGAAACAGACAAGCCCATTCTAAGGAGCTCTTCAGCCAGCTCCAGCAGAGCTCCAGCAAAGACCAGGACAAAGTTGGTACCATCGCCGACTTCCTGTTCTTGCATGTGGGACGCCATTACAATCATTTTGGCTGCGGGATGCTGCACCTATAAAACAAACAATTTACATAAATAGTTAAATTCATACATTTATTATGCACTCAGCTGAATTTCAGTGAGGTGCACAACAACATCTCCTCACCTCAAGCTCTCTGAGAATTGTTGCAGCGTCATTGGTGACAAACAGCTTCTCTAAATGGTTGATGACCATTTTGTTCATGCCTAAAAGAAAACACTTCATTTAACGGGTGCTGCTTTGATATCTTTACAGAGCACAACCCTAATAGGCTGTAGGCAGACCAAACTTACCGTTGGGCCCATAGGCAGTGCGGGTGGTTTGAGAAAGTTCCTTACAAGCTCTGATATTACGGAAGACAGCCTCTTCAAGACCTGAAAAGTGCTGTAACAGACAAGAAATCAACTTTTCAAGACAGGTGCATTACCGTTCATTTCCATGTCAGACTAATATATTTAGCTTACTACCTAACAATGAATATGTTAAAAGCAAATAACTGGATATAATATGGATAGTCTGAGAATGTAAACATTTCATTAAGCATCAGCATCACTTTAAGCTGACAGTACTGACAGTTAGCTGAATGCTAGCTGGGTGTGACTGCAGTATGGCATCCCGTTATAACAGCAGCTCAACTTCTGCTGCTGCTATATTTAGCACGGTTTAGACTGAAGGGAGACAGTGAAATATCAAAAATAAGCATTTCATCTTCCCTAACAGACCTTCGTCCAGCAGCCGGCTGGGCGGCCTGGCTGCTGCTTTCTAGAACTATCCCTCATGACTCTGAATGAACATGCTAACTTAGCGGCTAACGTTAGCTAGCACGCTTCTTCACAACTACTCAGTCAAAGCTCATCTACGAGCCCAATATTCCTAATTTAACCCCACCTTGGCGCCATCCTTTAACATCTGGGCGAAGCCCGGAGCTTTTGGGACGTGGAGGGCCATTTTCAAATTTTTAGCAGCCCCGGTATCCTAGAGAAGGTAGCCGCGGCGTGGGTTCAGCTCTGGGTACAAAGCCGGAGAGGCAGAGGTGGAGCGACTTCAGCGAGGCAGCGAGCTACAGACGGGTGACAACAAAGGACAAACAGAGCAATTCTCGTTTCACCGCGCAGTGATCGTAAAACACCACGCGGGGGCAGTCTTACCGTCGTGTTACTATAACGAAATCCAAGTCTATACTAAGTGACTGACTTTTCAGTGAATTCCAAATAATTTAAGCTACCTCACCAAAGAAACACAAGTAAAGTACGACAGATGGCATTTCTGATTTCCTGTTGTTTACTTGCTTTGTCAAATTTCTATCATTAGTCATGAAATATTACAAATATAATGAATTATTGTCTTAAATGTGTAGTTGTTTTAAATTAAAAATGTATTGCCTTTACCAGTTAGTTTTCTATAGACTGTGCCTTGCATATTATACAAATATAATATATACAAATATAACCATGCTATCCCAAATGATTTACCCACTAAAAGAATTACACAAATTTTCTACATACAAATTAAAGTAGTACTAATCTCATATTAAGTACTTAATCACAAATGTGTAACATAATTTAATTTTAGGTCAGCGGTTTGGCAACCTATCCAGGGTGTGCCCTCCACTTGCCCTATGTTAGCTGGGATAGCCCCCCCACCCCATAACAATAAGCAGAAGAGTACGGATGTATGAATATTACAATTATTCTAAGTTAAAACACAAATTATAGTACCAGAAGAAGTTCAAACTGAGCATCAGAAAGAGGAAGAAAGGAGATTTAAATGACTTTGAACATGACATGGTGGTTGATGTGAATATTTCAGAAACTGCTGATCTACTAAAATTTTCCCACATAACCATCACTGTGATCTGAAAGAGGCATGAGTTGCAGTGTCGCACAGATAAAATTGGGCTGGAAAAATGTTGCCTGGTTTTTATTAATCTCAATTTCTGCTGCAACATTCAAGTGATAGGGTCAAAATTTAATGCAAACAGCATCAAAGCATGGATCAATCCTTCCTTGGACTGATCACTGGTTCAGGTTTGACGGTGTTCATTTAATGGCGTGGGAGTGTTTTATTGCCATAAATTGGGCCTCTTATTACAAACTGAGTGCCTTCCAGCACCATGGTGGATCTGTGCCATTAGGCAAGCATTAAGGCAGTACTAGGCAAGGTATACCTAATGAAGTGGGAAGTTAGTATACTGGCATATATAGATTTCAATACCTGAAAATGATCTGAACAGAAAGAAAAAAACAAAAAACCCAAAATAGTGATATAAACACATTTTTCCACTCCGTTTCTAAAATCTTCAGTTAGTTTAATGAACAAATGTGCTGTAAAACTGACACCAAATGATAACCACCATCATCAACATCATGATGTTGAGGAAAATATTATTTTAACCCCCCCCCAAAAAATGAAGAAAAGAAAAAGAAAACACCCAACAAAAATGATGTGAAGAGAAAACATGAAACGGATATATATATGCATAAAAAGGGCAAAGTTTTATTTTTTCACATTTGGACAGTTGTTCTCCTTTAAAAAAAAAAAATAATGCAGAAAAAGAAAGTATCAAAAACAGAAAAACAAAACAACAACAACACACCCACAGAAGAGCTTTGCTTAATTTGAGGCTGGTAACTTGAGAGTCACTAATAAGACTCGGGATATCTCTTTATAACATCATCATTATAGCCATCAACTGGTAATGAGCCACTAAATCTTTTTCCCCATCACATTATCAGATGATTTGTGTGTACAATATCGATGCATGAATCATCCACAGGCCATTAGAAGTGCCAACCTCTGCCTCAAGGAATGTTCACATTTAAATACTGTTTTAGAAAATACACTTGATAATTTGGTATAATCAAATGATATTTAAAAATAGTGTAACAAGTGTTAGAAACATTATTGCATACATATAAAAATAGTGGAAAAAAAAAAAGATTTCCCCTCTGTCAGAAAATTTAGTGTTCGTTCAGCAGATAACTGCAGCTCTTGTTCGCGATCCCTTTAGAGTACATTTCATTAACTTTCTATGCAGAGAATGAGAACACAAAGTACAATATTAGTATTTTGAAAATGTAACTAAATGTAACATTTTGGTTGTAGCAGCTACGACAGATGCAAAGAAAATTCCTCTGGAAGCTACAGTGAGGATATTTTACCCACAACAAGCTAACCTGAGACATGTAAACACACAAGAGTCACACAGATGCTCACAAAGATGCAGAGCACACATAAAAAAAGACAAGCTGTAGCATAATAGTCTCCCAGTATCATAACGCCACTGTGAATATGTAACAGTGACACCACAATAATAATGAGTATAATAAGTGTAAAACATGGCTACAATAGGTCCTGCATTATACACACAGACATGCATGTAGTTCAGTTGGGTTTGCGAATAGTGTTCACAGCTGTGTGGGCCCAACTGCCCAGCGTGTCTGAGACGCGTGTGGCTCTGCGTGTGACATTTGAGCGGCTGAGTTTACCGCTGGGATCCAGCTTTCTCATCATCGCTCCCCCAGAACGTTCCTTTGGGCCAGATCTGCAGAGACAGAGAGACACTACTCAGTGCAAAAAGAGACTGCCATTAAAACCATATAGGTTTACAACTGTAACATCAGTTAGTTATTTAAAAAGAAAAAGGCAAGTGTTAAGCCATCAGGCAACAAATGAAAATTTTCAGTAACTCATTTCCTGATCTACAATTTGAATTTTATTACTTATCATTTTAATGTGTAAATGGCCTTGTAGACATTCAGGTAATATCAGAAAAGGTATTTGGGAAAGTTTGGTGTCAAGGAAAATTTAAAGCAGGAGCTGTAAAGTCAGCAAGAAAAAGTGTGAGCAACATTTGTTCAGACAGCGAGTTATTAATCTGTTTTTCTTCCAGATTGCATGCATCCGAGAAGCTCTGCCATGCACCTTTGTGTTTACACTGAAAGCTATGTTCTCAAAACTCAACTAGTTTTACTCTTTGGAAAGGGGATTTTACCTTCTGTATTACTCCACAATTTGGGAATAGTTGAACTGCCTGTTGCAAGTAAAAAACAAAACAAAAAACTGATCTCAATTAAATAAGAAGACGTCTATACTCAGTGAGGAAAGCCTCTGGGAGCATGTAATGTGCGCAAATAACAGGCAAGATCACCATTACCGAGTGCTCGCTTTCCGCACTGAATATCATCGTTTACAGGACACAAATATTTTAAATGACAACACAGGAAGTGACGCAAATTTTCAAATGCATTCTGTCATGTCATCTGGCTCCAATTCCCACATCCACCTCCTTTCCCCCTTACTCCCTCCTTATCTGAATACCAGAAACACAGGCCCTGTTTCAAACTGAGGCGGGAGGAATGTCTGGAGGGAGGGGGAGGAAGTCTGGGGACCCACAAGCTGGGATTCTTTGGGTGAGAGGGCAAGGAGGACAGAGACTCCCTTCCTCAATACAGAATATGCATGAATACAAGGAAATGGACTAATGGCTTCTTCAGTTACACAAAACTTTAATTTACCAACAAAACACTTCTTTAGTTGTGATTATAGAAAAAGGTAACAAAACATGTCCTTTTTCTGTTAATTACCCAATCTGGGAGAAACTAATAACACACATAATGCAAACACTTTTTACAATTTTAGAATTTACCACCCAGTCAATGATCAAGATATCAAAAGAATTCACTAAAATAAAAAAATGTTACCTGCTGTCTCTCCCAATGATGTCATCAAAAGCCTTCGACAGATGTTTGAGCCTCCTGAGTCCACTGGAAACTGACTCCAAATCTTGGTCAAATTTCCTATTATAGATCATAAAAACAAAATATTTGGCAGAAAAAGATAACCACCAAAATTCAAGTGAGCTACTCTCAGCTGCTCCACATACTTGGTTGAGTTTTTTTTTTGTTTTTTTTAAATAAATAAATGGTGTATGATCGTCCTGACACATCCTCAGAGGGATCCAATGAAATAAAAGCACTCAAACTTATAAACTAACAAAGTCCTAAAAAGCAAAGTTGCATAAAGAGTGAATCAAACTCACTTCCTCTGGTTTTGCGTATTTGGAGAGGCAAAGGGACTTCGTACAGCAGCCATGCGGACCAGTTGCCTCCTGCCACCTCCTGTTTTCACTCCTCTTACGGATGCTTCAGGAGTCCTGCGTCCTCTGGAGCCTGGAGTACGCCCAGGTGTACCTGTTGCTCTGAGTGTGCGTCTGGGTGTTGCAGCCCGATGAGGTGTACGTCCTGGGGTGCAAGAATTCAATGCTCCAGCATTTTCTCCATCACGACCCGGGGTCGCTACCAAACACTCTTCACGGGAAAATTCTCTGGTCCTCTGCAACCTCTGAGAGAGAGAGAGAGAGAGAGAGAAAGAAAATAACAACTCTAGAATAACTGACTGGTGGCTTTTGTTGAGACTGATAATAATAAAAAATAGGCAATTTCACACATAACAGTTAATCTACCTGATACACTCCGGTGATAGAGTTACGAGCACTACGAGTAAGTTTGTGGACTGTGCTGGTCTTTGGTTGCTCCTTCATGGTTTCCCAGGTCGGATTCTCAGGGAGGGAGTTGGTCTGGACAGATCGCAGTGGGAGTCGCTTCCTCAGTGACATTCTCAGAGAGTTGAGTGAAGATGAGGACCGAAGTTTGCGGAAACGGTCCGGGGCTTCTGGGGAGCTCTCTGCTCCATCAGACTCATCCAGGACTGTGTGTGCCCGCCAGACTCCAACCACAGCTTTACCAACACCATCCATGACTAAACAGGCTATATGACCGAGCTGAGAAAAAAAGTGATCTGTATGAATAAGTTTTATGAAAATAACATTTTTAATACTACAGTTTCAAAATCTCACAATATAAAAAAAACCTATATTCTAATCTGGCTCAGCATGCTATGAAATTTGAATATTTCTTTGGACTGATAGACCAAAATAAGAAAAAGTTACAAGTTAAGACAAATCTTTCTTTTTTTAATCCTCGAATTTGAGGAAATTATTTCAGAGTCCCTTTGTCACTGTCAAAAAATTTGAAAAATGTCAATGAACAAAGGACGGAAAAAGTGAAAAATGAGCCGTAACAACCATACAATCAAGCAGCAGTAATCGTGTTAGTAAAAGCTCCGTGGCTTTTGTTAGATAGGGACAATGCTCCTGGTCAAGTGTCCAACTTAACCCAGGAATGGCTTGCCCTGAGGAGGGAATAACAGCCTTAAGCAACAAATGAGAATTAAAGTTTACCTTTCACTTGCCGTTATATAAAAACGCTGTCAAATTGTGCCATTGTTGTCAAATGCTGCCTTTTCCCATAAAATTCAGTGAATATCATTAACAAAACAAAAGAGGGCTGTGCCCCCGAAGCCACGGTTAGCTAGGAAAAAAAATTACTATTTACACGACAAAACATCTACTCAAATAAGTATAAAAACTTAAAAGAAGAACGTCTGCTGGGACACCTGCTGTACAGAGAGCTTACCTAAAAGTATCAGTTGTAAAAGTAGCCGATTCTCTGTGGCTTTTAGGCGGCTGTAGCTCCCGTTTCTTCTTTCGCTGTTTGAATTTGGCGGCGGACCACAGAATCCACAAAGGCACGCGTCACCACGCCCTACGCAGTGTTACGTGACGTAAAACGATGCGTCACTACGTACAGTTTTACGTTAATGGGATTCACGTTGAAATGTGACTAGGATTATCGTGTCCGAATAAGATTCCAAGATGTTTCTTCTTGAAATATATATTTTAAAATGATCTGTTAAGGTCTGTATTTTCAAAATAGTTGTAAAAAATACTTAGGATCACAAGTTTGTAATACTAGATTCCTCTATGGCTTGTTGATGCCTACCAAAAGTCGTGTTGTGACTTGCAAAGGGACATTTAGCTAAGTATTATTGGGGGTCTATGTTTATATTTGAGCCTGTATGTGTAATTGTGATCCTGTGTGGATTAGGGAAAATCCAAAATAAATTTAACATGTGCACCTAATTCTTTTTTTAAAAAGTCATTAAAGATTTATGTTGCACAATCATTTCACCCTGGAAAAATAACAGCTTAAAGAAATCATCAAAAGCCCCAAATTACCATGGCATTTATGCCCATGATGAGTGTTTGTAAACTGTCTCTCAAACACCGTCACATTTTCTAGTAAAGAAAAATTACGAAATGTTTAGCAATAAACCTTATCTTTTCCAGGTAATATGTCCAGTTTTTATTGACTTGGCATGAGATTGGTGTTGAAGCAACTAACAGGGGTGTTAGTAATGCTCTTCTATTGCAATACTGTTTTACCACCCAATTTACAGATAAAGGAATACATACAAATACACGTAAGAAACACTTTACAAAGCTAAGTATAACAGTGCCTTTGGACTTGGTGATGTATATCAAATATATTTAGCTGCTGGGAAATGCTAGATAGTTTGCACAGTTTTTTCCACCAACAGCACAATTATAACAGGTCACTAAATACTGTTGCTCATTTATCAAACACCATAAGGTTTTTCTTTGCTTTTGGTTGCACGTGTACACAAAAATCCACCATTGTGGCTACAAAGGGCTTGGTGACCAGCAGATGTCACTGCACACCTGCACATGAAATGCTTTCAGTATTTTGAAATCTTTGTCTTGTCCACCTCTGTAGTGATTTAGTAAAGGCATTAACAAGGCTGTAGAATAATTTATCTTTAACTTTGAATCCATTTGTCCTTCACTGATATCACTCTGTTTTATGTGTTTTAAAGTGTTTCTTTCTTTATTGGAAAGAACATAAAGAGGAGACCTTGACCCTAACAACCTAGCAGCCACTGTCCTTTTGTCTCATTAAAAGTAAATGTATAACATCATTTTAATGAGCTATGGCTGTATAGTTGAGTCAGGAGGTAAAGTTCAGAGCAAATGCAAGAATTAGATTCTGAAGCATTTATAAACATTTCACAGACATGTTTATTTCTCTGGTTTGACAGCAGTATGATAGTTTTACACTGGGTATTATCAAAGCATCAGCTTCAGCATTGAGTTACTCTCTTTTAAGCAGCTTTTTGGTTTTTAACACAATTAGTCTGACAATTATCTGTCTCTTTATTGTTTTAAAAAGCACACTGATTAATATGCAGAAGCCAGCATGAGCTATATATATCAGAGTAAGTGCATGCATTTCTCATACAATAGCAGTTAAATGTGACAGTGTGAATGGTGGTTTCTGTCTGTGTCTGGTAATATATATACAGTGGGGCAAAAAAGTATTTAGTCAGCCACCGATTGTGCAAGTTCCCCCACTTAAAATGATGACAGAGGTCAGTAATTTGCACCAGAGGTACACTTCAACTGTGAGAGACAGAATGTGAAAAAAAAATCCATGAATCCACATGGTAGGATTTGTAAAGATTTTATTCGTAAATCAGGGTGGAAAATAAGTATTTGGTCACCTCAAACAAGGAAAATCTCTGGCTCTCACAGACCTGTAACGTCTTCTGTAAGAAGCTTTTCTGTCCCCCACTCGTTACCTGTATGAATGGCACCTGTTTGAACTCATCATCTGTATAAAAGACACCTGTCCACAGCCTCAAACAGTCAGACTCCAAACTCCGCCATGGCCAAGACCAAAGAGCTTTCGAAGGACACCAGGAAAAGTATTGTAGACCTGCACCAGACTGGGAAGAGTGAATCTACAATAGGCAAGCAGCTTGGTGTGAAAAAATCAACTGTGGGAGCAATCATCAGAAAATGGAAGACATACAAGACCACTGATAATCTCCCTCGATCTGGGGCTCCACGCAAGATCTCATCCCGTGGGGTCAAAATGATCATGAGAACGGTGAGCAAAGATCCCAGAACCACACGGGGGGACCTGGTGAATGACCTGCAGAGAGCTGGGACCAAAGTAACAAAGGTCACCATCAGTAACACACTACAATGGCAGGGAATCAAATCCCGCAGTGCCAGACGTGTTCCGCTGCTGAAGCCAGTGCATGTCCAGGCCCGTCTGAAGTTTGCCAGAGAGCACATGGATGATACAGCAGAGGATTGGGAGAATGTCATGTGGTCAGATGAAACCAAAGTAGAACTTTTTGGTATAAACTCAACTCGTCGTGTTTGGAAGAAGAAGAATACTGAGTTGCATCCCAAGAACACCATACCTACTGTGAAGCATGGGGGTGGAAACATCATGCTATGGGGCTGTTTTTCTGCCAAGGGGACAGGACGACTGATCCGTGTTAAGGACAGAATGAATGGGGCCATGTATCGTGAGATTTTGAGCCAAAACCTCCTTCCATCAGTGAGAACTTTGAAGATGAAACGAGGCTGGGTCTTCCAACATGACAATGATCCAAAACACACCGCCCGGGCAACAAAGGAGTGGCTCCGTAAGAAGCATTTGAAAGTCCTGGAGTGGCCTAGCCAGTCTCCAGACCTCAACCCCATAGAAAATCTGTGGCGGGAGTTGAAAGTCCGTGTTGCTCGGCGACAGCCCCAAAACATCACTGCTCTCGAGAAGATCTGCATGGAGGAATGGGCCAAAACACCAGCTACTGTGTGTGCAAACCTGGTAAAGACCTATAGTAAACGTTTGACCTCTGTTATTGCCAACAAAGGTTATGTTACAAAGTATTGAGTTGTATTGTTGTTATTGACCAAATAGTTATTTTCCACCCTAATTTACGAATAAATTCTTTACAAATCCTACCATGTGAATTCATGGATTTTTTTTTTTCACATTCTGTCTCTCACAGTTGAAGTGTACCTCTGGTGCAAATTACTGACCTCTGTCATCATTTTAAGTGGGGGAACTTGCACAATCGGTGGCTGACTAAATACTTTTTTGCCCCACTGTATCTATATTTTATAATAACCAATAAAAATGATCTTACACACAAAGACAGTTTATATTGCATTGATTACATTGGAAAGATGAGCTTTACTAGCTGCATCATTATTGTTATTAATGTTTCTGAACATATGCAGCTACCATTACCAGACAGTTAGCACAGTGTAAGACAGGAAACATGGGAAACACACTAGTCTGGTTTTAACCAAAGGTAACAGGACATTTAACTGATAAGTTATACCCTGATTGTATAACACATAGAAAAACTAACATACTGTGAGTTTTATGAGTTGATTACAGTTAGACTAACACTACCTAAGTGTTTCACTGAAGTTTCACTCTAAGCTAAACTAGCTAGCTGTTTACATAACAGAAATACACTATATGGACAAAAGCTTTAGGCCACACCTATTAATCTTTAAATTCAGGTGTTTTCAGCCCTGCTGTCACAGGTGTATAACATCAAGCACCTAGCCATGCTGTCTCCCATTACAAATATTTGGGAATGAACATGTTGTGCTAAAGAGCTGAATGTGAGTTTGATCGGATATTTCTATTACAGGAAGTCACTTCCTGAAGTTGTTCTCCATCTAGATAGTACACAGTCAGCTGTAGTATTATTGTACAGTGGAAGTGTTCAGGAGCCACACAATGTAGCAGATCATATGAAGTTACAGTGTAGTGCATGAAAGTCGGCAATGCTCTGCTCGCTCAGTAACTGCAGAGGTCCAAATGTCCTCTGGCATTGACATCAGCACAAGCTGGGAGCTACATAACGTGAGTTTCCATGGCTGTGCAGCTCCTGTAGGTGTAATGTATATGTAGCCCTGCACTTTTGTCCATATAGTATATATGTATATATATTCATTGTTTATACATTGGGAAGAAAACTTAAATGTAGAATAGATGTATCTCTCATCACATCACAAAATTAAATAGAAGGACACAATAATGGATAATCAGAGTCTTTTACACACAGAGTAGTGGCGTTATCTTCATGGCTTGTCTCGTTTGGTGATGTAGAGAAGACTGGTTATTTTGAGCACAACTTACTTGCAGCACTGTTAAAAGAGATTTAAAATATTAGAAGGTCTGGGTTGTAATCAGTCAGTCTCTGTACTCCACACGTGTATTCTGTGTGTTACCTTTACGATTTTCCTCCACCTTGAAACAACAGCAAGAAGAGCAGTGAGGCCCACAACCACCAGCCCAGCTATCATGGGCCCCAGTGGGAACTTCAGGGTTTTGTCTGTAAAAATGAAGATTAAAACATTAATAACCAAGCCATAATATCATGCACTGATTTTTATAATCCACTTAACAACTTAATGTGGAGATGTGGCTTGGGTAGCATTGCAGAGTGCTGATCTAGTGAGCTCACCTGTTATTGTGACTTGGAAATGCCTGCTGCTACTTCCATACATAGGAGAGTCCACTGTGCATGTGTACATGCCTCCATGCAAGGTTTTCTTCACTTTGCTGGATGTCAGCTGACTTGTTAAGCCATTATTGATCACAGAGAGACCATCTGCTAGTAGATCCACCAGGCTTCCATTTAGTGACCATGTCACAGAGGAGACAAGTGGATTGGCCCTTGTGTCACACTCCAAGACAAGGTCATCCTCTTCTTCAACTGTAACTTCCACTGTTTCAGAGATATTTGGGGCGACTGAAAAATGATCAGTGCAAATATTAATGCTTGTGAGATTATTGAAGTAATTTTTTCCAGATAGATGCACATCAACGTAACCAACCTAGCAGCTACACTGATTCAAAC